TTTTCCACATTCGGTAACGTGAACCTCTAATGCACCTTGCGTTTAGACGGCAGTATTTTAACTGGCGTTTCCATTTTGTTAATTAAAATACAAAATCAACAAAATGTCCGTAGTCTCCGTCCACCTAATATTCAGCATTGTGGTCTGGAGGACGTCAACAAACCGGGGTTGGTTAAAAAATCTTAGCTCCAGAGCTCTTTTAAACTTATAAAAATAAAAGCTTCTGATCATTCAAAATATCATAAATAACGAACTGACCCAAATTCCAAACACCTTTTTTAAATGGCATAAATCCTAATCTTCCCTATCAAACCACTTACCTAAAAACCGAAATTCGGTTTCCGATAATTTCAAAGTGCTTATTTGTTTCTGAGCTTGTCAGTTTTTAAAAAGAAGAAGTGACTAAATGCTTTTTGTTTCTTCAAAAATCAACAATACTTGTTATATGTTTTTAAATTCATGCGTTTAGGATACTTCTTATCGACTTTTTATTTCAATTTCTTATATGAAATCCAAAAGCGGCAATTTTAATATTTCTCTCGTAAAATTGTACGCTTTAACTTTTATTTTGATTTGAAAACGCCTTTGAGGAGTCCAAAGTCTTATAACCAGATACTCTTTTCCTCTAAAAAGAATAGATAAAAACCATTGAAAGAAGCTGGCATAATTTCAGAGACTATTCCAATTTTTAAAAATTGCAATTCACAAATGGAGCAAAAGCGTTGTTATTGCGAAGTAATTTTAGTATACCTTTCAAATTCACAAAAATGATCGTAAACTATAAATTTTATTACTAAAAATTATTGCCCAAATTTATTATTTATTCATCTGTGGCATATGCTACGCTCCGTCTATTTTTATGCGACCAAATAGAAATTTCATGGAACATTTGATTTAATGAAGTTGCCCAGTTATTTTTAACCTTAGAAGTTACTAATTAATCCAGATTCACTTTTAATTACAAAGTTGGAGTTGTTTTTATAGTTAAATACATGAGAAAGCGTTGCCTCACTAGATATTCCCAAATTTCAACTCTTTTCCTGACAAATGACATTACCTCAACTAAGAGTTGTTCAAATTTTAAGAAACTGTGATTTCTCCTTATAAAAGAGAATTCTTCATTTAAATTATTATTTTTAAATGAAAATTTGATTGAAATGCAGTGGCCTTGGTCTTGATTAATAAAAGAAATAATGAATATCTGAAGGCAAAAAATATATTTAACCCTCCTCTTTGTCGTAAATAATAAATTACTTTAAAACGGAGAATGAAAACAATGAATTGATAAGGGCAAGTGCTAATCAAAGTAATTTCGCGGTTTTCAGGCCAATATAAACATTTATCAATGCTATTCCACCTGAAAAATTGAGACTGAACGATACCTGACTTATAATTTCTCCGCTTAGGTCAAATTTAGGTCAATGTTTGGAATGTACTGGAATAGGAGCTTTATTGTGGCGAAGAATGAGGTAAAATTATTCTTAAAGTTTAGTTTTAAATTAAAAATGTTATTAATTTTGGCAAAAAAAATTGAAAGCAAACAAATTAAGAGTAGATAAAAATCTCGTCTATTAGACCTTAATGAAGCCGAAAAATAGCGATTTGTGTCCTAAATTTGCCTCCATTTAAAACTAACAAAGAAAAACTCTCCGTTCGCCAAAGTTCTTTCGTCAGAGTAGAGCTATGGGCATGCAAAACTAAAACAATATATATATTTTACTTAATTTTATTTCGAATCGTAGTATAAAAATAATAATTTTTCCTTTTTAGCGAAGTTGTCATTCGCCAAAACCACTTGTTTGTGTGTGCGCATTGACCCTGGAGAGTTAACGAGTAAAAAAGCTTTAGTATATTGCAAATTGAATTTAAAATTTCCCTCCTTGTCGAGACTTCGTCAAAGGAAAACAAAAAGTGGCGTTAGAGAGCGAGTGGGTGGATAAAAATCCTTCTTTATAACACAAACAGTTTTTTGCATTGTGTGCATTGTTTGAAAGGTCTGAAATATGAATTCTGCTACGCGTTAAGGATTTATAAATACCTCAACGAATATTTTTAAGAATTTGGGCAGGCATATTTCGCAATTTACCTAATATTACTGTTCTTTAATGTGAAAATAGGTCTTTTTCAGGTCTCATCAATTCCAAATATGTTTATCAAAATGCAAATGCATATCTCAGTGATTTCAATTTTATTTTAAAAACAAGTGAAAGATATGTGCCAACTAAGTGATTATACATAAAATTTTAATTTTCATCAATAGTACGAATATCTCTGAGTAATGATTTCTATAGTATTAAGAAATGGCAGGTACTGGCGATTGTGACAACAGACAGGGAAATCTACCGAAAAGCGCTTTGTCTCATCCTGAACGACTGACTGATTAGGTAGACGTATCATTAGATCCAATTATTTAACATTCTATTATTCCAAGAGAGATATCATAAAATTAACTTTCAGCACCAACTTGAGTTGTTTCCCATCTAGATCAGACCTTCTTAATGCATATATTTTTAACGTTTTCCGAATCGAAGCCTTTTCTCCTTCAACTTCACCACCTGATACCAACAAAATATCTTGGCTAAGAATGAATGCAGCATAGACGATTAGCCAACTCTTCAAAATTAAAAGGTGTTTAGTGGAGTTAACCTCGTTTTCCCATTGAAGTTCACCTTGTGAATGTGTGTGTGTGTGTGTGGGAGTTATGCTACTTTAAATGCATCGCTTCTAATCACGCCTAATGGCTTTTGACTCTAATAGCATACACCCAAGTTATAGTTGCATTAACTTTCGCTTACTATATCATTCGTCTGACTACCCCCCGAATGCAATTGACGCAATCTCACTCGTGGAGTAGGGAGGAGAGCGATGAGGATTGATGAATTGGATGGCAAAATGTACCTGCTATTGAAGTGAAGAAGGGTAAAATTTGTTATTCTCTGACCCACTTCCTATTTCTCACTCAATTAACCTTTTTTTCTTCATTTCCCTCTATCTATGTGCTTTTTTCATCATTTTACCTTTAGACAAGATTTTGCGCATCGCTCTGAATAATAGGTATTATTATAAATGATCATATTATATAGCATAGAATTGCGTATGTTTGATCTTGTGTGTGTGTGTGTTTGTGAAAAAAATTGAATACATGATATACGCAATTTAGATCAGATTAGCCGCAATATAATTAAACCATCACATGCAATCTAAGCTATCACCTAATAGCCAAAACACTAATGAGACACATTCCGCGAATTCGAAGGTGTTTACACCACAGACAACACCTTTTTTCACCTCATTTCTGATCCGAATTTTATCAAAATTTGGATTCGTCTTTTTGAGGACAAATCCAACTTTCTTCACCAAAATTATCCCCTCCCAGGCTGGGAAAAAAGAGCTTTAATTAACAGATGGGATCTGAAACGGTTTGTGGTTTGTTTTGAGATGCACCTTTAATTATTTGAAATTCGTGCTCTTTACCACTTCAACCCACCTATAAGAAACCGAAAAAGGTGGATTGAAGTCATGCGGGAAAAGGCCTTCTCTTTTTCTTCTGTGTGAATTTTAAATGGTGAATTTTTTTTGTTGGGTTTGATATTTGATTTAACTCTCCAATTTTTTTTTCTCATGGAATTTAAACACATTTTTTTTACTGCTATCCATAAGGAAAGAGAGAGAGAGAGATTATAATTATTGGAAATCAATTGACATTGTCTGCCACCAAGCCCCAAAATATGGTTGTTTGGAACAGTGTCAAGGTGATAAAAAGAACACAGTTTTACTCCTCATGAATTTCATATTTAAGTTGTGCTGTTTTTATTTTTCCAAAATTCAAAATCGCAATTCATTCCCAGGATTGCAACAAACGCGCCTCTTGACCAGTCGTGCACCTCTTTTTTGCCAAGAAGAGTCGATTTGTGGCCTTCATTTTTCACCTCGAGGAATTGGAAAAGCAACTGATCATATGCTATGTTTCAGAGTTTACAAAGAGAGAGGGTTGTATAAGAATCTAAGTGGACAGAGCTCAATAAGCTGTGTATCATGCATTGAGAGTCATTAAAATGGTGGGCGAAGATGGTTTCAACCCCACTTAGTTGAATAGTTGGAGAAACCTCAAAATAATGTTTATTGCGTTTATGTTGAATTCAAGAATGTTGCGTGAAAGGTGACAAAGCTTCTTACTTGTCACATTTCGACACAAATAAAGTGAAATACTGATCTCCTTACATTTGCAAAAGGGTCTTGAAGTAGGCTTTACCCAACTTTGAAAAGGGTAAGTTCAAATTAATGTCTCTTCCATTTGTGACCTATCTGCTAGAGGCATGTCAAACAAGCCTCCCTGTAAACCGATCCGAGTTTAACAAAAGAATAAGTGCAATAATCCTCTCCTCCTATGTCTAAATATGATTGGATTAAAGTTATACAGTCTCTGAGATACAACAACTTCAACTTTCCAAAGCTCAAGAGTTAACTCTCAATATGTATTGAAAGGTGCCGTGTGTTTATCGTTTCTGAAACAGTAAAGAATGAGCAGTAAAATATCGCTTTTGATTCAAACTGGCAAATATCAGCCACAGAAATTATCCTTTAGAATTTGCCATTGATTAACTGTGCTTAATTCAAGAGTGCAAACACGCGTGAAATTAGCTGTAGTGCATCAACCTTGACACCACATCTGACAACCAGAACTTGAACAGTTCTTTTTTGTTCATTCCGATTCCTGCAATACGAAAGACAAGCAAATGCCCGCAGAAGTATATATTCCTTCGTATCACGTAACTGTTGTATACATCTACATACTAAAATAGGCATTAGAAGTGATGGTGTGTGTCTTTTTTGCATCACGCTTCGTTATGTTGCCGTATTGAAACCTCTAGTGTTGTCAAAGCGGTGCTTTTATCTTCAGCAGTTTCATCACTACCGCTGCTATTTCAACAACAACAAAAAACGCAACAGAACTTAAAGGAAGAGAGAACTCACAACGGTAGGGCAAATTTCATGCATAATTAAGTCACCGCTGGTGAAAGCGAAGCTAGGAGAGAGAGATGGAGAAGAAATACATTCTTGCTTTCGCTTTTTTTGTAAGAAGATATCCCCAAATAAGGAAACTTTTCTAAAGTCAAATTTTCAACCGGCGTTTACTAAAATCCTGGAGCTATAACCGCCTCTAATGCGTTGCCAAACCACAAGAATTTTATTTAGCGCTTTAGTTCCTGACTAATGCTTTTGCCAGAAGTAGACTTTTGAGCTAGGAGTGTTTAGATTCGCAGGTAATATCACTAATGCATTATGTCAACGGCTTGGACAGGTGCTCTGAATAAATAATTATGGATAATGGAAACAAAACAAGTTAACAAATGAGTTAAAAATAGGTAAACATGCATTGCTGCTACTATTTTGTAAAGCATTTTTGTTAAGTGGTTCTTGTGCCTATCTGTCAAGTAAGAGGCTATGAGAACGAAGTTCTTTTTAAACTCACAGCTTGGGGTGCTGAAGGTCATAAGTTAGCAAGGGTTTTTTAAACTCCATCGTCTTACAAAGCAACCAAGCCTTTCAACTATTCCAACCAATTAACTAACTAGAATCATTAGGATTAAATCAATTGTCTTTGACTTATAGATTCTTTTGAATATGAAATGCCAACTCGATGTTCCTTGACCAGGCAGGAAATAGAGGCAGCTTTCCATAGGGCTCAAAATATTGTGGATAAAATCTTACCTTTAAACACAAGAGTCTACTCCAGAATCGCTTTATTCACATTCTCTCTCTCTCTCTTTCATCAGGATTCTCAGAAGTATCGGATCTGGGCTAGCTTCCCTTATGGAAGTCAAAAAGAATGGTTGAAAATTTTCAGCATATTCTATGATGCAACCGGTATGCAGTCAATAAAAAGCGTCTTAATCCTAATTTATTTTCAATACAAGTATATGCGTCTTCAAGTGGATAAGTTCACAATGTTAGTAATTGCAATTTCAGGGCGTTCGTGGGCTTTGTGAATATCTTAAACTTAACGACCTCCACCATCAGTTGCTTATTGTGGAAATATAAGCATGTAACTATAGTGACTCCATCTTAATTTGATTTCATTGTGTTAAAAAATTAATCCATGTATGTACGCATTTGCCAAAACGATTTTGTAGTGACTAATAAAGTTTCGATAATTGTCTCGAGGGAAGCGTTTTACTAATTCAAACAGTCATGAAAGTTATAAATAGCACATTTTAATGCTTAATTCAACTTTAAACAGTTCCGATTCAATCCATACAATCGAGATTATGTTTTTTTAAAAAAATTATCTAGTTTGAGGTTTTATATTTCAGAAAATTGCCTTACTTATTTGTGTAAAATAAATCGCTTGTTGGGGGGATTTTTTTGCGGATTTCGAGCGCACGCTCATTTAATTAAGTAATTATGAACGGAAAATGGACAACTTTTATTTTGGCAGAGTGTAGGGAGTAAAAAGATAGCCCTGCTCACCGGGCGAGTGGTTTGAAGTTTCATTATAAAAGCGCAAGCATTCTGAAAAAAATAAAATAACCGGCCGTGGGAGTGATTAATTAAAAAAACTGAGCAATATTGAGCACTATAGTTCAAGAAAACTTGACTAATAACAGGATTTACTTTTGCATTAAGAACTAGGCTATTCGATTAGTTGAAATCTAAATCTACTGGACAAATCGATCTCTAAATGGTTTTCGTGACAAAAGGTGAGAAATAAGTGACTAGGCCTGAATACATTGAAGTTCATCTTTTTTTTCCTTCAGAATGAAGTCTTGAATCCAAACACATACCTAACGCTTAAATTAATTTGTCAGTTGAACCTGAACATTACGAGCATAATGTCACATCTAAGTCCTAACTGAGCTTTGAAAAAGGCGGATATTAAAATAGGGGAATTAATGCGTTCATAACTCAAATGCTTTACGAATTTTGGTATTCGGTCTTCGTGATATCTACTCATATTTTATTACTCATAGATTTTTACTCCCTTCTTGAACCATTCCGCAATTCTGCATATTTTAGTTACTTCCTCTGAATAAACGATTTGAAAGATCTCCGTATCGTCAGAGGTAATGCTAGTTAAGTTTAATAAGATCAATACAAGATATTGCGTTACCTGAGTTATTTTTCATTCCCATATGTTAAATTCTCTTTCACTCATAGAGATATAATCATGATTGGCTTTCTCTAGCCGAGAGTGTGATGAGTTTGTCGTTCGAAGCTGCCGTAATTAGCGCAAATTAGTAGCATTTGAAAATCACAAGACACTTTCTTCCTCCGCTCACTACGAATTTGCACGACGTTTTCAATATTCTATAAATATTATTCTCATATCCTATATTATTACTATGAAGCGACGTGCCTTTTTATCAGAGTTAATTTTGAGTCTCTTTTAAAGTGTTAACCTTTATTGACTTTATTTAAACAAATCAATTTCTTTACTAGTGGTATGAACCTCGCCTATACTTGCCTAATGATTTAAGGGGAATTAGTCAAGAAATCGCAAGGTAGATATTTGATGGCGAGATAAAATGCACGCATATCTCTCTGGAAATACATGCAGATAAGTAACGATTTCCAAGTGAATGATTCCCATGAAATGCCCCCCAAATTCATGAAATATTCCCCATTTAAAAGCCAAAGAACCGCGAATAGTTTTGATATCCTATGCTCAGTTAATGAAAGTTATTTATTATAGAAAATGAAACTACAATTTTATTTTATCGATTGAACTTAGTCGTCTGTTGAGTTATTTAAGCGCCTAAAATCAGCGGACGTAGTTCTCATACCATAAAAATACACTATGAGTCATTCTATTTTTCTTAACTTTTTTATTTTGAAGAGAAAAGAAGAGATAAATTTGATGTAGGTAGAACCCAGGGTTGATTGGGATAGGAGAGTCAGAACATTGGGAGGAACAAGAAAGTTCAGTAAAGCGGAGCTGTCAAAATGCATCAGTGAGCTGACAAATTCGTCTTAAAGAGAGGAGAAAATGTTCTAACTTCACCATAGCTTAATACATTTCTGCATCCCGTTTAGTTCCATTAAAAATAAATGAAAACAAATGACTCGAATTTGGTGAATTACATTACAAATGACTCGAAAGAACTTATTTTAATAGCACCTCGATCATCTCCACTGATGAGGTCAATAAACAATGTACACTTAAAATGAATATTAATAAAGATGGCCCTTCGCGAACGAATATTACTGTTTTTTATATTAAAAGCTCAGTTTGTCTACTGATATACAACAAGTACTAAAGAGTGACGTACCAACGTATTGTCGAATTCCAATAAGTCCAATGAAAAGGAAGAGTAGAACACTTGTATACTGATAATTTAATCGATCAGCAAAATCGTCGTCGTATCTTTGGCGTGTGGAACCAATCCGTCCGAGTTTGGAGAGTTTCCAAATGAATGCTGCATCCATTATTTGATTTGTGGGAAGGGCAATTAAATATGTGCAATAGGTACCCTAGTTGCCCACCTCGTTAATCCTAATCATCGTGCATAGTCTGTGTGAAGACAAAAAAGAGAAAGCACATTATCATCCATATTCAACCAAATTGACCTCATGACACTGATCACATGAACAAATACAAGCCCAGATTACTTGTACACAAATGATGACTAAGCGGAATCTCATCTCCAGAAAGTAAATCCGTTATAAGTTTGCTAAAGGAGGCAACTTTAGATTTTGACGCCCACTCCAACAACAATTGTAAAATCCCCTTGGATCACCATAGTGGGAGTGCTTGGGTTAAGGGTGCAAATGCGTGTGGAATGGCCTTAAAAGTAAAATCCACTTTTCCAGTCTTTTTCCCTTTGAAATATGTGTCTGGGATATTTATCCAACCGCTGAACTTCATATCAAAAGGAGATGAGGTCAGTGCATGCGTCTTTTTCGTCGCTGTTTTGGCGACCAGAGTCAGACCCTTAACTTTACCCTTCCTAGCTCACAGATTACCCCCTTCACACCCCCCACCCTCTCCCTCAAGTAATTAAAATAAACATGGCAAAATCATTATCTCCCATCCCCCCCCCCCCCCCCCCCCACCCAATAAGTTTGCTCCAAACGAACAAGCAGATGCGATGAACTTACACTTTTAATAAAATTAATTCAGTTATTGATTATTGCTCCCCCCCCCACCCCCACTTTTGAGCTTTAAATAGCATTGACAGGACTGCAAACACAGTCGAAGAAGAGAAAATCCTCTTTTAATTAAGCTTATGCTCCCATTCACAGCCCCCCCCCCTCCCCCTCCCCCACCAACTCCCCACTCTTAAGGCTTATCTTCGATACTGTTTAAAGCACAATTATAAATTGTGGAAAGTGGCAATATTAGGACAATGCTATAAGTACAAAAAAACACTTGCCATTATTCTCTAATAATGATAAGTCCACTTCATATGGAAAGGGGAAAACAACATAATGGCAATGAGACTTTGGATATCAACATCGTAAAGCTCTCAAACCCATTAAGTAATGTGTTTGCTAACAATTGCCTTTAATTGCTGGCGGGGGGAGGGAAGGGGTTAGGGGCAATGTCACGGAGCCTACACAATTGTAAAGTGTAATTCTGCCACACCTGAGTTACGCAACTTTAACACTCGAACAATTGGCTATTCACCTCATTGGATTTGCACCGATGAACAATGAAATTGTAAGCAATAAATTCCTGTTGAGCACCACTGGCGCAGAGATTTCTAAAGTCATTAAATACAAAGCCCCTCGCAGGAGAGATCAAAGCTGATTTTCAGAATTTCATCAACTTGTTCAGCTGAGACTTGGAAGACAAGGTGTGGATATGCATGGTAAACTCCAGGCGAGTGTAACTTAAATGGATAGATTTCCACCGACTATCTCGGCTAGGCTGAAAATTCTTACCGAGTTTGAAGTCCTCCCAACTGCATCTTCACACACAAACACTCTCTCCCCCATGCGACCACTTAGCTCTTGGATTTAATAATTAATTTACATCCGTTGAAAACTGCTAAAACATTGGACATTTTAGTTCTGTAAATTGCCCGCCCCCTTCTTCAGCGTGAGAATAATCCACAAGTAAATTGAACTGATTTTTTTTCCAAAAAAGGTTGTACAATCAGGATGCAAATGGGAACTTAGGTAAGAGTGAGTGGATTCAGACAAAGGAATAAGCATATACCTTGTCGAAGCAAAGTTAGACATTTTACTAACACACTGACTAAAGCTACCAATGGAGTGAATAGATGTCATGGTGCCAAATTGCAGCAATGGAAAAATTTGCTACAATAAAGCATTAATTATTCCACTGTAGGTTTGAAAATTGAATTTTCCCAATAGTCCCTGCTAAACGAAGGAATGCCCGGTGGTTTTAATTATTCCAAATAATGTTATGTGCTCTACGGCCGAGAAGACGAAGAGAGACTTCAAGCATAAAGACTGTTGATGAAATTTTCGACTTCAGATAAACGCGCGAGTAAAGAAGTCTGAGTGTTCCATGAGAATAGCGAATATTTTAGCATATACTATTTATAAATTATCACCTTATATTTCCAACCAAAATCGTTTTCTGAAGGGAAAAAAATTAGTCCGTCAAAGAAAGGAACTCTTTGACTAGATTGTTTCATAAAAAAAGGAAATGTAATATGGAAATATTTCAATCATAATGACGCTGTATGAGCGCATGGAATGGTTGAAATGTGATTGAACCAAAAAATTGAATTAATAGGAGTGACAAATACGCAAACTCGATTGCGTTTACAAGTTGACTTATTAATGCGACATAATTACATTAACGATGTTAAATAAATTTGGCCAAAGCTTTTTCAAAAATGTGAAAATTGAAATTTTTTTTGGAAAATATCATCAATTAACTTTAAGCATGAATAAATTAACTAAATGCAACTTGGTGGAAAAATTTGGATGAAATGAATGACTTACGGAAATGCTGTGCAATAAGACGCCATGAATGCAATGGGGGGAAATCTCGTGTGTCAGGTTTGAAACTACATGGAATTTTGAGGGAATCGACGCTTACTTAAATAAGCAGAAGTACCGCGAAACCATTGGTGCGATGGGCGTTAAGCGCTGATGCGCGCGTATAAGCGTGCGTGTAGTGCGTACCTGCGCTTACGCATGGAACGAGACAAAGTGTGGCTGGGAGTAGGAAATATGACCGGCTGGTCAGTAAAAGTTGGAAACCCATTTGAGGTACCTTCTTCTTCTTCTTCCCCCTCCTCCTCTCCTTTCTTATAAGGTTAATTTTTTACTTAAAACGTGCTTTCTACATACTTAATTTAAAGTTAGCTTGATCAAAATGTTCCAATTTTAGTTTTCTTCAACTTGACGAGAATTTGGATCATGGATACAAGGTGTGACAAACATTGCGTGAACTATCTCCGATTCTGGAAAAAATTGAGTTGTCTAAATTCATTCAGGACATCAATTTATGGATATTTGATGTCATGTTTGAATCATTGAAGATAACCAGTTGTCCGATCTCTTTTGTATAAATTCACAAACCTAGGAAAATAGAGCAGAGCGCAGGTAGTACCACCATGCAAGTCCATTTTTGTCAGTGTTGAATTTTTTGGCTGTCACTATAAGTTGAACCTGTGTCTACAGCTAGCTTGTCAATAATCCGAAACCGTCTCAAAATCTCCCCTCATTCATTAATCACGTGGCCATACTGTTCTCGAAAAACTTACACCACCATCTCCATGTCATAAAGCATGGCAACCTCTAAACGAGATCCTTTCAATTGAAAGGCTACTTAAGCCACTAAGCATTGACAAGAAACTTGATGTTGGTTAGCCTAATAACTCTATAGTCTTAATAAAGAAGCACTTAACAGCAAGGGCAGTCAATAAGTTATGAGAAATTCCTAACGGAAATCAATTTCTCCATGTGAATGTCGTAGCCATTGTAGTAAGTTGGCTGCCTCCTTTTAACTTTGCACGTTTTTTTGTTATTTTTGGCACAATTTTCGTCCGTACTGCTGGCACAGAGCTTTGGTCTCCTTCACACCACCTAGTCCTGTTTCATACAACTTTACTTAGCAAACCGAGCGATGAATTGAAAACCACCAAAAAAGACTGAGAAACTGTGGGTGTTAATAAAAAGGTTAAATATAAAAGTGCAAATGGTGCCATAACATTCAGAGCGCCATAAAACTAGTGGTAAAACAAATAAAGTGAAAAAAGGTACAAACGGTGAAGTAAAAATTGAAAATGTTGAACATTTGGTCGTAAAACTGACCTCTCGAAATTCGAGTATTCGATCGCTGGTCGTTAGAAATCATTGTTGAGGTCAAGACTCTTAAACATTAAAATTTTATAATATTTAGAAAGAAAAATAAACGTCTGTTCACATTTTACATTTTCAATTTTTTTCATTTTTCTGGTTGAGGGTTCATAATAGACGAAATTTAAGTTTTAACTACATGAAGTTATCATTACTTACAATGAAAATAAACTTAAATAACAAACCAGAATTTGTTTAAGTGAACGATTTATACGCTGATGATTCATTCGCCATTGACAGACACGTTTCGCAATACTGTCATCATTTAGATCTTGCATTGACAACCGAAGTAGATAGCACAAGTCGTAGCGAATTTACTCCAAAATTGAGATAATTAATTCATCTTGTTCCCTTTGAGTCGGTGCAATAAATATTTCACGATGTGGCGATTTAGCGACTAAACCTCTTTACTTGTTGATCCATGAATACCCCAAACTAGACCAGAATGAAACGTTTTTTTTTAGACTTTGAGACAAGGCAGGGGTCGTAACTTTTGAATAAGTAATATTTTTCATTCAATGGTGGCTTATTACTTCGATTTAAAAATAGATGCTTTACTTATTTATTTATTATTAAATTTGGAACGTCAGATGTAATTTGAATAAGGGAAAATTTATTGAAGGTTCGTTGGTGGATTCAATTGGCCGATAACATAAATAAAGTATATGTGTTATCGTTAAACTTTTGTTAGTGGCAATAAGATCGTATGAAGCACTTTTCAGCGCAAAAGTGAAATAGACAACAAATAACATGATCACAAAAGGTGAAATATAACTGCACGCACAGCTGTTGGATCTAGGCGTCCCTTGACCGTATTTACAGACAACTCCAGTGTTTTTTTCGAATTGTAGATTCGCTGAGACTCAAGAACATAAATGATTAATTCAAACATCCATGGCCCCGTACACCCAAATATCATTAGAATTCAGAGTATCAATAACCAGTGTCATGAAAGAGAATTTATTAGGTAGTAAGCAACTTTTATAACTTCTAAGTTGTCCTTCATAAAAGATGCAGCGACTCAGACTCACAGACGAGAAAAAGAGTAGGCTTATAGCTCTATCGACGGTGTTTATTTTTAAAATTAATTTCCTTTATGAAGACTTGGTTGGTTGCCAGGCTTGGCAATAATTGCAGCGACGATT